ACCAATAAATGTTTTGTTATTAAAAAAAATACTGGTTGCCAAGGATTGAGTGGAGAATAATAAGGGAGGGATTAATAGGTAGATGACACATGATTTTTAGAGCAGTAAAATTATTCTGTAAAGTTGGATACATGTGATTATTTGTCAAAGCTCCACAAATATTTACAACACAAGGATTGCAAACTATGAACTTCAGTTAATAGTAATATGTCAACACCAATTAATCAATTGTAACAAATGTAGCCCATTAATGCAGAATGTTAATAATATGGGAAACTGTGGAAGAGTGGATGGGCTTCAGAGTATTTGTAATTCTGTACTTTCTGCTCAATTTTTCTGTAAACCTAAATCTACTCAAAAAATAAAGTACATCAACTTTAAAAAGTCCTGTTTGTTTGGTGTTGAAGATCAAACCTAGGACATCATGCATGCTACACAGGTATTCTACCACAGAGCTACACTCCCAGTTCCAAAAGGCTTAGCTTTTAGACTAGTTCTAGTTTCACAGAAAAGTGGAATGGGAAGTACAGATATTTCCCATCTATTTCCTATCTCCTGAGAACACTTTCAATTAAATAAAAATGAAAACACAACATATGAAAACTTAAGGGATACACCTTAAGTAATGGTGAGAAGGATATTTATAGCACTAAATGCTTATATTAGAAAAGAGGGAAAGTTTTACATCAAGAATATAAGCTTCCACCTTCAGGACATAAAAAGGAGCAAAACAAGCCCGAACCAAATGAAAAAGAACCAATAATAAAGAGAAGAATAGAACTGAAAAAAATTAAAACAGCTGAGGACTTAGCTCAGTGGTGCCACCGCCTGCCTCACAAGCGCAAGGTCCTGAGTTCGATCCCCGGTACCAAAACAAACAAATAAACAAACAAAATAGAGGAAATTATTGAAACAAAAAGCCTACTCTTTGAAAAGAATATTGACAAAATTTTAGCAAGGCTGAGAAAGAAAAAAAAAGATACAAACCATGAATATGAGGAATGAGACTGTATGTCATGACAGATGTTCCAGATATCAAAAGATAATAAAGGAACACTACAAAAACTATACTCATAAAATTAACAACTTAGACAAAATTAACAAATTCCTCAAAAAGCACAAATGAACACAAGCTACCCAACATGGAACAGATGTTTTCCCATGCTAATATTAGTCAAAAGAAGGCTGGACTTCTTTTTTTCAGAGAAAAAAGACTATTATCACAGATAAAGGTTATTTTAGAAGATAAAGAGGTCTTTTATCATGAGAACATAAACATCTTAAATACATGTGTTTCTAATAATAGAGCTTCAAAATACATGGAATACAATTGATAGAGCTGCAAGGAGCAAGAGATAAATCCACAATTATAGCCAGATTTCAATATTCCTTTTTCAATAATTGATAGAACAAGCAGACATAAAATCAGCAAGGGGATAGTTGCCTTGACAAACATTATCAACCTAGCTGGCATTTGAAGAAGTCTCCACTCCAAAGTGACAAAGGCTACAGTCTTTTCAAGGATATTATAGTTAAGATCTACAATGTCCCCCTAAAGTCTTATGTGTTTGGAAGGTGACTGGATCATAGGGGTAGTACACTGATGAGTTCATAGCTGAATGTACTGTTAGAAAGTGTGGCCTGGTCAGGTGGGCCACTGGGGCATGAACTAAAAGGGTTTATTTATTCTTGTCCCTGGCTCCTCTTCTCCTTCTCCTCCTGCCCCACTCTTTTCTTCTTCTTCTCCTTCTCCCCTTCTCCTTCTCCCTACCCTCTTTCTTCTTCTTCTTCTTCTTCCCCTTCTTCCTCTCCTTCTTCTTCTTCTTCTTCTTCCTCCTCCTCCTCCACTTCTTCCTCCTTCTCCTCCTCCTCCTCTTCTTCTTCTTCCTCTTCTTCTTCCCCTCTTTCCTCCTCCCCCCTCCTCCTCCCCCTCCCCCCCTTCTTCTTCTTCCTCCCCCCCCCCTTTCTGACTTGGAAGGGATGAGCAGCTGTGGCCTTCCAGACTCTCCTACTGTACCATTTCTACCTTGGTAAAGTTTCTTGCTAAACTTTGAATGAAATTCACTGGAAACTGAAAGGAAAATAAACCTCTCTTTCTTTAAGTTGTGGGTGTTGGATATTTTGTCCCAGTGACCGTAAAGTGACTATGAAAAGGCACATAGAAGAGTTACCAACTCAATCTACGAGGCCAATATTCAGTGATTTCAGTGATATCAAAACTAGACAAAGATACTGAAAAAAAGAAAACTATAAACCACTATTCTTCATGAATATAGATGTAAAAATTCTAAATAAAATAGTCAGTGAATGCATCAATATGTAAAAGGGCAATGCATCACAATGAAGTGAATTTCTCCCAGGAATACAGGGTTGGGTCAGCATTAGATCAGTCAATATAATTTATCATATTAAAAAGGGGAACAGAGTCAGAGCTGCAAATTGAGGACTAAGGTTGGATTCCTGCTCCTTGGTATCCATAGATCAGAATAGGGTCGACCCCTCTGTACACCCTAGCTAAAATTTTGCATTTCACTTATTTTTGGCATAGCCTAGAGAGTGTATATGATTCTTAAGAACAGATATGCTTTTCTTTATACAAGAACATGATTTGTTATACATATCATACCATACTTCACAAGTGATGTTTATTGTTGCTATTGGAGATTTAATTTTAATATTTTTAATTTCAGAGTTATATCATCTAGTTCCTCTTTGAGACTTATTTGGATTGCCTTTGGAGTTGTTCATTAGGCAATTAATACAGGGTTTATGGCACTTCTTCTGCTCAAAACAGGTACCTTCAGGAAGATAGATCCTAAAGTTGACTTTGAAACACTCCGTAATTTGTCTATGACAATATTATAGATCTTTTTTTTTAAAGTTCATGTTCAAAACCGTTATGTTTTACTTATTTTTCTCAGCATTCAAAAACATGACTTATTTGCTCATGAATCAAAGACCTTTATTTCTCAAAGCTGTCTTTAAATTTCTCATTTTAATGTCTCTCATAATCTTGTCAGGTGCTATGGTATTTTATGATATTTTAGTTCACACGTAATATTTCCAGAGACTCCTTACCAATGGCAACTCAAATTTTAATATTGACCTATTTTAGCAGTTCTTACCTTTTCAATGCTAGAAGCCTCTGTGAGAGAAGAAAATTCAAATAAAAATTGTGACTTTTGCTTTAGGTTAGTTATTTTTGTTACAAATAAGTAGCGCTGAAGAACCTCAGCATTCCCTACTTACCTGTTAGTCAGATGAAACTGGATAGATGAATGCTCCGGAGTTTATACGTCAAATTTACCTTGTAGTGTGTGACTCTTCATCCTATGTGTCACAGGAATTTAAACACTGAATGTCAAAGTACACATGACACTATATGCATCTTTTCAAACACAGAAGTAACCAAAAACTACCATATTGTAACTACCAGATAAAAATCAAACTTGGAATAATGAAAACAAAATGTCAACCCTAATTTGTTTTCAGTGCTTGAACTGAAGACTTCAAATCATTCCACTAAGTACATTTCCATTAATAATTTTAAATTATAAGAATCACTAAGTATTGAATGAGCATTCAGATCTGGTTGTGCGCTCCAGCTCTGCAGATAGTTTGCTGGATGATCTTGGGCTTGTCATTTAATCTTTCCATTTCCTAATATTCTCAAGAATGAGGGTTTTGGAATATTTGGATGATTTCAAAGCTTCTAAGTCTATAATTCTATTCCTAAAGAAGAAATGTGAATTAATTAGACCATTGAAATTAACATCATCCACAAAAGGATCTTAATTCAATTTTGTTTCTTGCTATGACATAATTGGATATATTGAGAAAGAGTAAGGCAGAGAGGGTTATACTTAGGCCCTAATATCTTCTACTGATTCAAATGAAAATGCCAAGGTACTGTATGAAGGTGTTCTTGCTTCTAGTCCACTTGAATCTTAGTAAAAGATATTAACTCTTTTTTGGTGAAAGAACAGATTCTTAGTTTAAATCAATGTGTAGGTTAATGGAGTATTTGTCAAAGTGACCTCACAGGGTTTTATTCTTGACCTACTGTACTTTTTCTCATTTTTGAGAGTTACCTGAAGGAAAGCTACTTTTCAAATCAACCTTGGGAAAGATGTTTAGCATGTTAAGAGAACAGAATAAAGATTCAAATGTATTCTAGATGAGGGAAGCAAACACACAAGGTCAAAAGCAAGAAGAGAAATTGCAGGAATGAAAGTTAAGTCCTATGTCCCGTATTTGGTACCCAAAACAAAATATCAGCTACCCAGAAACAGCCTGAGGACAAACTAGTTTGACAGCTCCTCCTATTATTATTATTATTGTTTGGTACCAGGATTGAACTTGGGACCTTGAACTTGCTAGGCAGGCAGCCGCGGAACCACTGAGCTAAATCCCCAGCCCAGCTCTTCACTCTTTCTCTCCCTATCCAGCTCAAGAAGTCCTCCACAGAGTTAATGGTGCTACACAAAATCTTAAAATATGAATACACACTTGAGCTGCACTCACAGTGGTGCTCAGATCACAGAACCAAAGTTCTCTCGGATATCCTCTACAGACAATCCTCATCTGCAGTTATAAGAGCCAGTTTGGGGTACCACACTTAATAAATAAGGTTGTGAGGAAGCTTTCTCCATACAGACCAAATCGGTTATTTTGGATAGAGAATTGTGAAACCAAGCCATGCAAGTAGCGCTTGAGGGTCTAGGAAGTCTAATTTGCAAACAGAGAAAGGTAGAAAGCATGGAAGAGGAATGCCATATGATTAACCCCAGGCAACACGTGCACTAGCAGCCAAGCCCAAGAGGAGAGCACCTGCGACACACGCAGCAGCCACCGTGCCCAAGGGAGGAAGCTAACAGTTTGGGGGGGCGCCCCCTGGCGTGATGCAGGCCCCTGGCCGCACGCCCCGCACGTCAAGGCGTAGAGTCCGGGACGGCCTTGCACGGAAGGCGGTGACGAGTCTTGACGCGTCAGTTCGAAGTTTTCGAAGTTCGGAGTGATTGTGTCATGCCTTCTCTCTCCAACGCTTCTCCTCACTGGAGCAGGGGCTGCTGCTGTGTTGTTGGAGGGCTGTTGGGGCCTGGAATCATGAGGCTCGGAGGTGCGAGTTGCCCTGGTGGGCTGCTGCTGACCCTGGGCTGGCTGCTGCTGACCGGCCTTAGGTCCTCCAGTGGCACGAACGTCACCGCCCTTCAGGACATGGGTTTCACCCGCGAGGCTGAGGGCGTGGGCGAGGGCGAGGGCGAGGGCGAGGGCGAGAACGACGAGGACTACTACAACGAAGTGGTGGAGACCGAAGGCCCGACAGAGGCCGGAGATGATGGTGAGGGAAGAGGCTCCTTGCAGGGCTCACTGAGGCCCCTGTGGAGGGAAAAAGCCTGCTCTTTGTCCCAGACTAGAATTAGCCATGTTTCCCTCTGTAAAGCGCTCTCTTAGGCACCAGCCCCGAGTTTATCGATTCTGTGCATTTTAGGGCGTTGAAGAAGGATGTATACTTTTAAATACTACTTGGAGAAGGAGAAATATTTTTAAGGGGTGCAAGTAGCCTTCCATGCAGGGGAATCATCTTGACTATTACTGCAGTCATTTCCACTTTCTGTTGTAGTTTTTTTTTTTTTTTTTTTTTTTTGAAGTTACAAAGAGCTTGAAGTCCTGTGTTTGATGGAAACACAATGGAATTCATAATTCCCTTTACTGTGACACATCTAGACCAGTGTGCTGATGAAACTGTCCCAAAGCCACAAGTCAGCTTCAGGCAGCACCTACCATTCAGCACTTTTGCAGCAGGGTAGTATTTAATTTGTATGTTTAACTTCAAAGGAATGGTGGCAGTGAAAACACCTATCAAGGGATTCAACTAATGGCATTGTTAGGTAATAACGTATTAACCAAGGGAGAATGAACCTGTGCTTGGTACATAAATTTGCCTTCTACTGCTGGCTCATTAAGCAATAAAACTTGACAAGCTGTGGTACACGTTATATTGATTAGTAACTCACATGTTGGTAGGTAAAAGGTTAGTTGTAAGTCTTACCCCTTAAATGATTTAGCTGAAAATTTTAATATCCTTGACATTCTCCTGTCTCCTCAATCTATACATATAGAGTAGGTGCTGTGTCTGTCAGCTTTTCTTTTATTTCCTGATTACAGAGAGTAACCATCAGCAACAGAAAGAAACTATTTGAGGTTAATAGTGAGATTCAGGTTTGTATTGTCTTGATAACAGTATCTTCCAGAGAGCATGAATAGGTCCTTGACTTTGGAAATGTGAAAAACAAAATGACTAGAAAAGAAGCATGGTAGCTGTTGCTTCATTCTATCCTTTAAAGTAATAAAGTGAACAATTTTAGTATTAAACTTGTCACAGGATACTTCTAGCTGTAAAATGCTAAATATTATTTAGGCTAAACCCAAGTGATGGAGTTATAATACCTACAGTTCAAATGTAGGTAAGTTACTTATTCTCTGTGTCTCCAATTCCTCATCTGTAGACTTCAGGGAGTCCAGGTACCCTTTGGAATATCATATATACAATTTTATGCATAGGTGCATTTTTTGGAGAAATTGAGAATCCAGAACTGCAAAAAATTAGAAGTATCAGAGATCTGAAAATTTCCAAGATCAATGTTAAAATTTGTACAGCTTTTCTATCACTAATGGACCAGTAAAAAGTCATTACTACTTACTTAAGCTAGTAGACTCTTTAAATTTTCTTCACTTTTAAGTAATTTTCCAAATAATTTACAAAAATTAGAAAGGTCAGTGAAAACATCTTTGTTAGAAATTTTAGTAGAATTTAAATGTAAGCAAACCCCCAATTTTTATTCCATATATCATAGTTTTGAAGAGGTATGTGTTCTAACTGAACAAGTAATTTGAATGCAACTAAATTTTTGACTGTTAAGCATGAACCTAGAACATATTCATCATGTAAATACTGATTCCAGATTTCAAGTACATTGGTAATAGAGTCTAGTTTGTTTTTACTCTAGTTCTTTTTTTATTTGTGTTATGTCTCCCCCCCCACCCCCACCCCTGCCATCTAACTCAGGACTTTGCGCTTGCTGGGCAGGCACAGCAGCGCCACTGAGCTACATCCCTGGCCCTCCATTTGTATTGTCAAATACAAAGGCACATATTTTGTTGAAGAGAAGAATGCCATCTTTTGCTGCATAATTGCAAAATATTTTCATTTTTAGATTTATAAACACCAAGTGGAATGATTAGTTCAATATGTTTCATTCATTTTTACACCAGCTATCTTCTTTTAGTCACCTTTATATACACACCTGTCATCATGAATTACCCATTTATAAATCTTGTCAAGTAAATGTTGGTGGGTAAACACCATGAAAATGAAAAATACTGTCCACAGCCTTTTGGAAAAACAGTGTGATCTAGGTTATTGTCATAAAATACTTCAGGATCAAATCCTTCATTTTGAAAGATGTAACTGGATGAGAATACCATATATTCTTTTCATCCTTAGAAATACAATGTTCATTCATTGGATTTCAATGTAGTTCAATTCTTCAGTGTAGTTCAATTATTAAGTTAGAAAAAATTCATCCAGTATATTCATCTAAGATATCATCTATCACTGAGATTTTTTGCTTATAGTCAGTCTCACCATCATCATTATCTAAAGTGCACCTACCTTTCCTTGTTCATCTTCTGATTCATTCAATAATTGTGAAATGTTTTTCTCTGTCAATTCTATTCTCTTTCCCATTATAAGCAAAAGATGAAAAATTCTGAAATCTCAACATTGTTCATTGAAAACCAGAAACAGACTATAAGGAGAATGCCTCTAGATTTTTCACATATATTCCTGAAAGATAATGTGACACTTTGGGTAAAGAAATAAAAAATCAGAGACTGATGATAGCTATGGTTTATTTCAATTACGTCATATTTCTGGAAAACTCCAGTCATTCTTCAATTTTGTTTTTTTAATTATTTTAACAACATAGTGATGAAATAACATCATTATGGAAGATGAAATAAAATGTTTCAAGATAAGGGAAAAATCACAAAAATATTATGTTAGATTTAAACCTTAATGTCTTTTATACCTTATATACACTTTTAAATACCTTTAAAATATATTTTATGCCATTTATATAGAAAAAAGAATCAATAGACCCTTGCCTCTGAGATTGAACCCAGGGGCTTCCACATGCTAGGCAAGAGCTCCAACATGAAGCTACATTCCCAGCCCTTATCCATGGTTTGAATGTTCATTATATCTCATAATGTACCAGCTGAATGTATTCAGGCATTCAAAGCATAAAAATGTCAAATCAAATTTGATCACCATGATAGTCTGAATCATTTATTTAACAAAGTCAATATTAATTTACTTATATATCAAGTGGCTACTTCAAGGTACTACATTTGGTGCTTGCAAATACAGGATAAAGTGTTTATGAAGCTATTGAGCTTTTACAATCATCAAAATAAAAAATTCTTAGTAGTATATGAAACTATTAACTACAAAATGAGGTTGAATTGGGTAAAATTATATCTTAAGGATATTTATAGTGCTAAACAATTTATAGAATTCTTTCACACACTCTTATTTAGTATGAATCAGATGAGATAAATTCTTTTTCCAAATTTTATGAAGAGTTAACAGGGTCTGACAGAATTTAATTAAGTTGCTCAAACTCAAACAGCTAATTAGTGGTAGAGGCAGCTCTTTGGACTTCAAGTTTAATGTGCATTCCCATGTGATTTCTTGCCCTAAGATACAATGCCTTTTACAAATTATCTTTTAACACCTTGTTTTTTCTGCTGAGATTTCAGCCCTAATCTGTGCTATGAAGAGCTGGTTATGCACTGTAGCTAGTGGAATTCATGCCAAACTTTAGTATGGTTAGAAAAAAGGAAACATGATTTTGAACTAAGAATAACTTCTCAAGTTATTATATTCCTTGGTTATCTTGCTAAATAAAGTGTTAAAATAATTCTTGGAAATATTTAAATTTACCATCTTAACCTGGAGATGAGTAAACTTTTATAATTTTAATAAACACTTGGTATAAAGAATTTCTTTTTGGATGAAAATTACACACTTTATCCTTTTTACTTGTTTGGAAAATAAGAAACAGAAAAAAACAGTTCATGAAATTGAAAAGCTTTTTTGTGTGTTTTTCTTTCAAGTAGAATTTTAACTCACCATGTATTAACTGATGGAAAAAACACATTACATACAAGGTTGAAATACTTTCTTTTATTTCCTACTTTATGAACTCTTTAAAAGGGCTAGGTTTCTTTTAATTTAGATAACAGCAGTAGATGTATAAGAAATAGCTTTGTATCCCTCACCCCCAAGTAAGAAGGTTTTCACTTAGAAAAGTTTTTGTATGTAAGTAGAAGGGAACTATTAGAGAAGAGGACAGGAATGAGAGGAAGCGGGAAGGAAGAGCAAGGGGACAGGGGCATCAGAAATGATTGAAGCATGTTATATGGATGTGTGAATCTGACAAAATAAAGCTATTAGGCTGTACATTAATAAAATGCATAATAACAGGTTTATATGATTAAATAATGGATTTTATACTTTATATTTAGTTTTGAATAGGACAGTAGTCAAAGAAGTAGAATTTGGAATGTGTACAGTCACATGTGGTAAGTAGCACAAAGCAGGTGAATAACTTATATTGTAATTTGGGGGGAGGAAGGTAAAAACAGAATATGTGGCTATTATTTATTTGTAATTTGTATATTTTTATCTCTTACTACTTTCTGTATCTAATAACTATAATTTGCACACAACATTCAGCTAATTACTTCAAAAGTAAGATGTTTTCAGTTCATAACCCCTAAGTTTTATTTAAAGCCAACTGCCTATCACTTTTTGACACATAAGCTGTTTTCACAAAGGAAAAATTTCCCTATCTCACAGAAGTTCAGAAGATGAAAGATTTTCCAATGCATCTCACAGATGTGTTCCCATATACTGTGTTGGCAAATCTATCAAGAAATGTGCTTATTTGTAATATTCTCCATTTCTACAATTTTTATGTTAAATTTTGGGGAAAAGAGGTATTGTCTTTCTGGGGAAGATAATGATAAAAGAACATGACTTATTTTGATCATTTCAAGGATAGAAATTGTACATACAGACTCTTATATGAGGGTTGGATTAAAGTTACCAATGCTATAATAGATCAATAGTTCTCAAACATCTACCCTACCACAGAGTTTCTAACTAATACTATGGATGGGCCTAAGATTTTGCATTTCTAACAAGTTTACAGTGAAGCTGACCTCACTGGTTAAAGAAGCATCCATTGATAACCTCTGCTATGAACAAGGGTGCAAGGAAGACAATAGATAATTCACAATAAAATTAAATTTATCTTAAGTGGAACCTGCTTTGGAAAAAAATGATAGTGATGAGAAGGGATGGGAAATAATAACTAGAAGATAAGACAGACATTCCATCTAGATCAAATCAAATCTGATCCATCTAGATCTTCATCAAATGTATATCTGAATTGTTTTGATATAGCTTTTTTATTGTGGTAGAATATACCTAACAAAATTTACCACTTTAATCATTTTTAAACTCAGTAGCCCTAATTGAAACTCCATACCCATCAAACACTAACTGTCCACTGCCCTCTTTTCCCTTCTCCTGGCAACCACTACTCTTTCTATCTCTTGGGATAGTCTTTTGTACTTCAGTTATTTGCTTGTTTTTGCAGTGATGAGAATTGAACCTCGGGCCTTTGCACTGAGCTGCCAACCCTGGTCCTCACTAAGTCACTAATTGTCCAAGCTGAGCTCAAACTTGTGATCTTCCTGCCTCAGCATCCCATAGTGCTGGGATTTCAGGAATGCACCACTGTGCCCATCTTCTTAGGATAGTTTTAAACTTGATTTCTACCTTAACTTTATAGTAAGTCAAGAGACCAAATGAAGGGAAGGTGTGTAAAAACCTGTGATTATTCATTTACAGTTTATCTTTCTTTTGCTGCTTACTCAGGAAATTTTCATAGAGAATTGTTTTTATGATAGCTCCAGTAATTGATATTTTCTTTTATTATTTAAAGAAATTATATGTTTATTCACTTAACAAGTGATTTTGTGATTGTTCAAACATTTGTCTACTTAGTATCAGGAATTGTCATGGAGTGAACAAACCACACAATTTTTCTGACTTGAAAAAATGTATACTTTCATGGGGCAGATGGACAAATAAAAGATGTAATATTCAGATAGTAATGAATTCTAAGGAAAAAACTTAATATTTCATTTCTAAAATGTTAAAAATCTTTTCAGTTTAAAACAATTACATATATAGAAAAGACACATGCTTTAGTGAAAAAGCTATTTAAATCCTAAAACAATATTTTAGCAGTCAAAAAGTTTTATTCCAATCTCTGGTTCTACTTAGGATTTTTAGGTGTTACTTGGAACACCTCACACTTACATACATCTCAATGGACTGTATTTGGCTAAATAAATACACAAAATGCCTGCTTGGAGAATATTTATGCAGGTATCGTTCATAATTCAAATGGAGCCATACTGCAGCCATTCTCAGTCATCTCTTTTAATCAAAAGACACCTGTTCTCGTCCACCATTCCAGCCTCTTTTCCCATAGTGCTCAGGTCATACTCCTCTCCCTTACTATTTAGAGTGTGGTCCACAGAAGGGTGGTGCATTAGCATCAAAAAGGATCTTGTTAGAAATGCAGAATTAGACTTTCTCTAGATGGACTTGGTCAGAATTTCCATTTCAGTAAATCTTCAGGTGGTTTGAGAAATGTTTTTGTAACCTTCACAACCTCACTTCCCACCAAACAGTTCTATGGTTAAACACTCTTGGGAGATCTTGTGTATCACATACTTCACCAAATCAGATTTTTATTGGCTCTAAGAAGCACAGTTTACATGCTCCAAAAAGGAAAAATGCTTCCAATTTATGACATGACACAATTATAAATGTGTTCTGATTTTAAAGATGTTAAAATGCAAAAATTTTGCATCTTAGATCAGTGAAAGTTTATATGCAATAAACTATTAATTTACTAGCATGTTAAAAAGTTTCTAAAAACTTATGTAGTAAAGAAACCCCTTTAACTTTATTTAATGTACCATTTTCAAATGTGTATGTGGTCATGAAATCCTTTTTCTTATGGTAACAACCAGAGAGGCTAGCGCTTTATGTAACTCACTTGGGAAAATTCTGTTTTATGAAACAATTCAGAATGAGAGACCTAAGAAAATTCTAAATGTCACTATTCTGAATTTAGGAATCTAATTTCTGAAATTAGGAGGAAAGAAGGAAGGAAGGGAGAGAGAGAGGAGAGAGTGGGAGGGAGAAGGAAATGAAGGAAAGAAAGGAAGGAAAGCACACCTGGATAGGAAAGTTAAAGTCCTCTGCAATTATTTTTTTCTTAACATTTGCCATTTCTTTCACCAAAGGTGTTGGTTTTAGAGAAGTTATATTAACAAATGGGTGTCCTGGAGGTGAATCCAAGTGCATTGTTCGGGTAGAAGAATGCCGTGGACCAGTAGATTGTGGCTGTGAGTGAATTCTATGTGGGAGGGTGACCAAATAAAAATTTACTCTGGGGAAATTTCCTTAACCTTAGATGGGTACAGGGTGGAAGGAGACAATCAATTGATGTGTTGAAAGAAAATTATACACATTTAATTTTCCTCTAAACACTTATAGTTCTGAGTAACTTTCTGCTTTTGTTTTACATTTTTTCAGTGATGTCTAAAATTTAATGAGTATATCTTTTATAACCCACTGAAGCCTCATTGTAGTTGGAGTTTGTGGTTGAGTCTGTCCAATAGTAAAACACCTTTGATGCTTTGGTCATGGCATTTTATCAGTAGATTGGTAAACTTTAAATTGAGAACTTTGACAGTTATTCTGTATCTATTATGCTATCCTGACATTTCAATATCTCTAATGAGGTTTCCTAACCAGTTAATTGGAAATCACAGCATAATAGATCACTAAATTGATCACCTCATCTTTTCACTACAATTTATTCTGCATTAAAATAGGGATCCATCCTCACCTGCTTATTTTGGTGACTTTATCTTTGCATTCATCACTCCACTCTGCTACACTCAAACGCCCAATTATAAGATTTTGTAGCTTCTAGCACATAATTGATATCTAAAAGCAAGTTTCTCTTTTTAAAATAACAGTATGTTTAAAGCAATTTATAATGTCCAACGGCATTCATGTATTTAATTTTTCTTTTTTTAGGGGGTCAACCAATTTCAGAAAGTCTTCAAAGTGTTAGACTGGCTTGCATTCATACATCTCCTGTAAATCGGTTCAAATATATATGGAAACGTCTAAGGCCAGACCAAGTATGTAATGAATATATGCAATCTGGTACTTTCTAGTGAGAGAAAATATTTATTTCCCAGTTCTTATGACTGACAGAAAACTCTCTTTAAAAGCATTTTCAAAAAATAAAGTTAAAAACTATACAGTTTTAATATTGGAATTCAAATGTTTTAATTATTTAGCGAGACAAATTTTATACATGTCTTAGGGTCAGATATAATTGGAACTTAACATTCGTTTTATATAAAATATTCTGTTTTGGAAGCAAGGTTTTCATTGGCTCATGGAGGAGTTATATAATAATAATTAACTAATATTAATTAAGGGCTTTTTAAGTGCCAAGCATATCCTGAATGCAGAATTTCTTTTAATACACATCACAACCCTGAAGTAATTTATAGTATTATACAATTTTACAGGTAAGTAATTGAGATATAGCAAGTAACTTGTTCACAGTTACACAGGAAGGAAGTGGTAGGGTTGAATTTGAAATCTGGGTTGTCTGACACTAAACTCCATTACACAACTATCTTACTAGCTAAAAGTCAGTGATTTTCCTTCTGTTAAAGAAAAGAAATTGTTTTCTGATCCTAAGTGCAGTGAAGACCATTGATAGCTTTCTTATTTTATTTTTTTTTAAAGCAACCTATCATACTTCCAAATGATTCGGCAATCCTGGAAGTACGAAGAGATGTTCACCCCCGGGCTTTTGAGTGTGACACTCTGGATAGCAATGAAGTGGTAGCATCTGTTAGATTCACAGTCTATACAGTAAATGGTAAGTGCCCAACAATGTTTGGTTTGCTTATTTCTCAAATGTTAAAGAACATCAAAGTCACCTGGAGAACTTGTTAAAGCACAGCTGTCTAACCAGCCCCACCTCTAGAGCTCGGGTTCAGTGGACCTGGGGTGGAGCTGGCAAATGGCGCTGGATCTCTAACAAGTTCCCAGATGACATTGCTGCTGCTGCCCCGGGGAACACACTTTGAGAACCACTGGTTTATATCACAGGAATTTCTCTATCAGGTAGTATTTCCTTTTTACAAAGTAGAGTCGGATATTGTTCACTTGGGGAAATTGGTCCTTTAAAGACTAGTTCTTTAACTTGAAATATGTTTTTGTATTTACTTCATTCAAAAAAGTGAAAATGGGTAAATGGAGTTTTCATGAATGCTTACAAAAATGCATGCATAGAAAAATAAATAAAATCAAGAAACAAAGTCAGAGCATTGCTCTAAAACCTATTTATTTGACAAAAATACTTTTTTGTTGATGCAAGAATACAGTTCTTAATGTATGTCGCAAAAGACAAATCTTGTTCTGAACATGATTTTATGTATTAGAAATTGTGCTTTCTTTGTGTGGTGGACTTGTCTGCAGCTCCTCTTAATTTAATCCATGGGATTCTCTGTATCCAGGTAATTATTTCTTTTTGTTCCGTTGCTCTTAACCATTTATAATGTTTTCATCTTTGTTGTTAGGAGTATGGGGGATTTGGCCTAAAGTTCTTTAAAGAGCCCAATCAAAGCTCTGAAGCCTTTTCCCAGGAAAAAACATCCCCATATACAAGTGTGCCAAAAGTTATGTACAATTTTAAGAGAATTTAAGTACCTCTTGAAGCTATTTCTGAACCCCAAGTAAAAAGCTTCCGTTGTAGTCTGGAGATACCACACAACATATACCCTTTGTTGACATGAAAAGAGGTCAAGTGATTTTAAAAAAATACACTTAGAAAGTTTACTTAAACTTTCTTTGATGTGCTAGTAATTAACTTAAGTAAAAATTTTGTGGTGAAAACTAATAACCACTCTTTTGTTGTAATATTGGGCATCATTAAAAGGATAATTTTGATAAAATACTTTTAAAAGGCAAAAAAGACCAAAACATCAAACTAAAATCATCTCAACTGGCCCTAGTTTATGATATTAAGGTATCTGGGTCATTCTTGAACTATGTTCCCAGTTGTTGTGTGCCTGGTAGGACTGTTTAGTAGTTAGCTCCTTTTATGACTAGAAAGGAATGTGTACTTGCTAGTGTGTAAGCTAAAAGATGGAACACAGACCTCAAAATTCCTTTCCTTTCTCAAGACAAAGTTGATTTCTTTATATTGTTGCAGCGCAGGGCTGGTGGAATAGTTCTGCTGTTTTAGTACAGATCCTCTGCTAGAGGCATCAGAGAAATCATGGCCTTACCAACATATCTTTTCCTGGCTTCTATTCCCTAGAACTATAAAACAATAAATTTCTGTTGTTTTAAGTCATCCAGTTTGTGACACTTTGTTATGTGGCCCCAGGAAATCAATACACACACGGGGTTTGTTTATCCAAAAATGAAGAGTACTGAAATCCAGCCTATTTTTCTTTTTTTAAATTCTCTTATTGGTACATTTTAGGTATACAATACATTTACATTTCTCATTGGGAACTTGTACCTTTACATGATGCATCTTGGTTCTTATTTTTTTCCCCATTCC